CCCCAAAAAAAAAATATTCACAGGGGCTGGTGACATGGCTCAGAAGCTAAAAATACCTGCTGCTCTTCCAGAGGATCTGAGCTTAGTTCTCAACACCTATACCTATGTGGGCAGCTCACAACACTGTGTAACTCACCCCAGGGGATCTGACACATTCTTCTGACCTCCAGGGGAATCTGCGCACTTGTGTCACATACATACACACACAGATGCAAACACATATATAAAAATAAATCTTAAAAATTACATTTGGGGGACACTGGAGAGATGGCTCATCAGTTAAGAACACTGGCTGCTCGTCCAGAGGACCTGGGTTCAGTTCCCAGCACTCACATGGCATCTAACAACTATCTATAATTACAGTTCTGAGAGAACTGACACCCTTTCTGGTCTCTTTGGGCACTGCTTGACACAAGTACAATTACATACAGGTAGGCAAAACACTCATACACATAAAATAAAAATTAATTTTTTAAAAGATGGTAACATTGGAGACTGTAAAGACAGCTCAGTTTTTTTTTAGTATTTTTTCAAAGGATGTGATTTTGGTTCCCAGCACCCATACCTGGCAGCTCACAGATACCTGTAACTCCAGGTACAGAGGATTTAACGTACTCTGGACTCTGCAGGTAACTGTACTCATGTGCATGTGTGCACAGATACACATACTTAAAAAAAAATTCTTAAAAAAAAATGCCTGATCAGGCATGGTGGTGCACACCTTTAATCCCAGCACTTGGGAGGCAGAGGCAGGTGGATCTTTGTGAGTTCAAGGCCAGCCAGGTCTACATAGTGAGTTCCAGGACAGCTGGGGCTACAAGGAGACCCTGTCTCAAAAAGAAAAAAAAACAAAAACAAAAACAAAAAAAAACAATGCCTGGCATGGTGGTGCATGCCTTTAATCCCAGCACTATGAAGGCAGAGCGAGGTGGACCTCTGTGAGTTTGAGGTCAGCCTGGTCTACATAGTGAGTTCCAGGGAGGCTGGGGCTAGGAAGACCCTGTCAAAAAAAAAATCTTAAAAAAAAAAAATGATGAAGAGGGGCTGGAAAGATGGCTCAGCTGTTAAGAACACTGGCTGTTCTGTTCTTGCAGAAGACCCGGATTTGAATCCCAGCACCCACATGGCAGCTAACAACTGTCCGTAACTCCAGTTCTAGGGGATCCAACAGCCACTTCTGTCCTCTGTAGGCATTGCACGACACAGGTGCACTTACCTACATGCAGGCAATACACACACACATAAAAACAATAAATAAGCCGGACGTGGTGGCACACGCCTTTGATCCCAACACTAGGGAGGCAGAGGCAGGTGGATCTCTGTGAGTTCGAGGCCAGCCTGGTCCACATAGTGAGTTTCAGGCCAGCTGGGGCTGCAGGGAGACCCTGTGTCAAAAAGACCAAAAGAAAAGAAAAGAAAAGAAAAGAAAAGAAAAGAAAAGAAAAGAAAAGAAAAATGATGGTGATACTAGTTCTCAAATCCCGATTTTCTGACTAGCAAATTCACACTTTTTCCTGCCTTTTGCTCTGATGATAAGGACAGACACTCCACCCTGGCAATTTTCACTCTGGATGGAAAAAAACAACAGTACATCTATTAGGTTGATGCATATGGATTTGTTAATATTTAACACTCCTCAGTCACAGAAATGGCAGTTTTAAGTGGGTTGATGTGCTGCATCTCAGCACTGAACTAATTTGGGTAAAGGCAGCCCCCAAAAAGGAGAAAGTGACCTTCCTAGGGAGCAAATGAGGTCTCTTCACCAACGACACACATCGTACAACCTTCTCGACAGGTTACCCATAAAGTACTCTCCAAAGACTGCCAGCTCCCAGGAGGCAGGCAGGGAGCAGCCCTCTTCTGGGAAGATACTCAGGTCTCATATAGGACTGCTCATTGCCATGGCCATGGGCTGCCTGCTAGAAAGAAGTGTAAACTGAACAAAATTGCTTTCATAGGTCCCTGGGCCCCTGTGGCCTGCCCTTCAGTCTTGAGTGGACTGTCCTCCCCACAGGAACTTCTGGGGCACCATGGCTGCTTCCCATGAGGTGGGGAACAGGTAGGAACAACAGGGCATTTATGAAGTCTTGTCTTTTCTACTTTCTGTGTCTCCTTTCTGCTGTGGCTGCTTATCCCCCCATCCCTGTCCCCATCCCCATCTTGTGGGAATGTGAGGGAGGAGGTCAGTATTTCCTTTTCCTGCTGAGAGGAATTGGGGCAGGGGGAGGAGGGTAGAGGAGGCAGAATTGAGAGGAATAGCTGTGTCTGGGGATACAGAGTGACCCATTTAAAAGGGCCATGTGAGGCAACCCCATGCAGCCCTGTGCTCTCGGGCTCTCAGAAAACTGAGCTCTCTGTGTGTGTGAACACATGTACAGGAACACACCATCAACCTTCACACTCACGCGTGCTTTCCCACCACATAGCCTCTCTCCTATCACATACTGGAAGCTGACAGAATTCTCCCAGGAGCAAATTAAGTCACTCAGCCTCTGCCTGCCCCTCTCTCTCTCTCTCTCTCTCTCTCTCTCTCTCTCTCTCTCTCACACACACACACACACACACACACATTCAACTTACAAAGGAGACAGTGGTTTTAAAAAAAAGGTAGTGTAGGGAGTTGGGCTGTGAGAATGGACTGAGACAGAAAGTATGGGTTCCAGTGAGGTGCAGTAGCTACCAGCACTAGGGAGGCTGAAGTAGGAGGAATGCCACAAGTATGAGGTCATCCTGGACTACACAGTGAGTTCCAGGGATATGTAGTCAAAACCTACACACACACACACACACACAAAAAAAAAAAAAAAAAAAAAAAAAAAAAAAAAAAAAAAAAAAAAAAAAAAAAAAAAAAACCTCCCAAAAAACACAAAAACCAACTGATTCTTATTGTGAGAAGATAATGTAAATGAGGTATTTTCTGCTAAAAAGAACCAAAAAAAAAAAAAAAAAGGAAGGGAGGGAAAGGAAGAACTCCAGCACCCGGGAGATTGTATTTCAGATCATTCTGGGTTACAGGGCAAGAACTTGCTCTTTTTTTTTTTAATTTTTAAAAAATATTTTATTACTATTTTATTTTATGCATGTATTGCCTGCATGTACGTAAGTGCACCCATGTTGTGCAATGCCTGCAGAAGACAGAAGAGGCTGTCAGATCCCCTGGAACTGGAGTTATGGACAGTTATTAGCTGCCATGTGTGTGCTGGGATTTGAACCCAGGTCTTCTGCAAGAACAACCAGTGTTCTTAACCGCTGAGCCATCTCTCCAGCCCCAGAACTTGCTCTTAAAAATAAAAAAGGCCAAGCATGGTGGTAGCACTAGGGAGGCAAGTGGAGCTTTGCAAGTTTGAGGCCAAGTCCCATACTACCCAGGGCTATATAGTGAGACCTAGTCTCAAACAAAAGAAAAACAAAGCAAAAAGAGTAGATAAAACCATGGGAGGGGCTGGAGAGATGGCTCAGCGGTTAAGAGCACTGACTGCTCTTGCAGAGGACCCGGGTTCGATTCCCAGCACCCACATGGCGGCTATGAACCGTCCTTAACTCCAGTTCCAGGAGAATCCAAAGCCCTCTTCTGACCTCCATGGCACTGCACAACATGGGTGCACTCACATGCATGCAGGCAATATACTCATATACATAAAATAAATAAATGAAATATTTTTTTTTAAAAATGGAAGAATTAGAACTCCCAAACCTGCTACAATTGAGTATTCACACACTGGCCACATGGGGAAAGACAGTGATGGATAGGGTGGGAGCAGGAAGGCCTCAAAGCCCACCCTAGGCTCTTTTGTAAGAATAGGGAATTAAGTTAATTTTTAAGAATTTATTTATTTATCTTTACTTTATGTGTGTGTTTTGCTTGCATGTATGTAAGTGCACTTGTGCATGCAATACACACGAAGGCCAGGAACTAGAGTTCTGAAAGATTGCTAGCCCCCATGTGTTAGCCCCAACTCAGGTCTTCTGAAAGAGTAGCCAGTGCCCTTAACCACTGAGCAATCTCTCTAGCCCTAAGATAATATTTGTTTTAAGGGTTTATTTCCATTTTCTCTCAATTATTGCATATCACCCCATTTCAGAGATGTAAAACCCAAATCACCCTTTAGGAGTGGGCAGTGGGGATTCATACCTAGGCTGCCTGGTCCCATGGCCCACGCTTCATACCAGTGCCACTGTATTGCAAAGAGGACAGATGAAAATAAAATCCTGATCCTGTGATGGCTGGAGGGGCTGGAGTCCTGATTTTTTGACCAACTGACTGGGACTTTTCATTTCTCAAGGCCTCTTCTCCTACTTGAGAATTCTGGTAACATGATCATTAAGGTCCTCTTATACGTGTTTTGTGTGTATTTGTGTGTGTGTGTGTGTGTGTGTGTGTG